GGCTCCAGCTGAACATCATCCCCGACACTATTCGCTACAGACTCGCTGTCGAAAGTCACCGGATGGGATTCAAGTTGAGAGTTTGGAATTTCCAGCTGGCCCGAATTAGACTCGAGTCATCGGACTGATCATCAGAACTTTGACCCGATTCGAGAGTTTTTGCTTGGCCCGGAGCAGAGTTCTGACTGGTTCTCGTCCTCGGTGCCGGATCATCTGCGATTGTCGTCAAAGCCGTGCTCTCTTCCCAAGTCCTGATTCCAGGACAGAGGTCCCATTGATTCGAGCCCACATCATAGACACGTTGATAGGGCTCATAATCTTTCCACACACTGACAGCAAATGAATGTGTTATCGGTCTGCGTATCAAAAAGCCGTCATAAGCATTCCACATGAAAACCTGTGTGTTCTTCGAACTCGGACCCAGTCCTTGCATCTTCGTGACACGCTCTTGTCGTTTTTTAAGCTGTGCCTTCTCCTCCGCGGAATTGATCGCCGTGTTGTGTCTGGTGCGCCGCAGGAAAAAATCTTGATAACTCTCGCCGAATCTTTGGCCGCTATTCGGATCAACCGGCGGCATTTCCCGGCGCGGCGGCTTCTTTGGCAGTTCCTCAGCTTGAGCGCACGGAATACTCCAAATCGGCGCCTAGCGTTGTCGATGAATGTCCATTCCATGATTGCATCTTGGCCACTAAGATTGCGAACTTTCTGTATGTGCTCTGATTGGACAGAAAGGTGGTAACATCGCATGGAGGGAAGAGCATTGAACAACGTGGGATCGGTGCTGTTCAAGAAGAAATACAAGGGTACACGAATGTCATTCTTCAATATCATGGAGAATAGCCAATCCAGAGACCGAGCTTTCTCGATTGCTGCTGGGCTTGAAAAGTCTAAGATACCTCCAATGGGTCCCGGCAATCTGGAAAACGACTTCTTCTAGTTCGTCCCACAGTGCCGCATCCACTTGACTCTCCTTGATATAGCGTTCGCGCCATCCTGGCATTTTAATGTCATCGAGAACTAGAGTCAATAATGTGATAGCCCCAAGCAGCGGGCGAAAAGCATGGAGAGATTGCAAGACAGCTTTGTGTAGATCTTGTGGGGATTCAAGGTCAAAGTGTTGTGTATACCCGAATGTTGATGGTAGAGAGTGCCACGGACGAACGGTAGATTTGAGTTCCGTCGGAGCCTTTGGCGCTTTCATAACATTTTGATCTAACCAAGTCAAGGTCGTTCGCAAAAAACCCTCGAGTCGGAGCCATTGATCACGCAAGTCACCTTTCATACCCCTAACTCGAACGTGCTGCGCACCACGAAAATGCGGGACAACAAGCTCCTCTTGCGGGGTTGCACCGATCTGAAAGTCCAGCGGCTTCAATAGAGTATTGTGCAAGATGTGGAAACGAGGCATAAATAACAAGTGAGGTAGGTCCATATTAAGCCAGGCCGTTTTGGCCATCTCGCCGTTAAGCGTTTTGTTCGAGGAAGTGGGAGGGGCTTGCCGCTGACTGGGGATGGAGTAAATGACAGCCCGATCGCCGTTGAACACGAAAAAAATTGCGGGCTTATTTCGCACAAGACCAGTATAATGTTTGGGGGAGGTCTTGATAACAGAGGTTAACGTCGAGAACCGGTTTGGTGGGAGCTAAGTTACCTTTGGTCACTCCTCCTCATCAAGCGCTGAGAGGTAGCAGCCGCACAAATGAATTTCCCGGACGTCGACATTTCGCATGACGCCATGAATGGTTGTTACCCGACGTCTTAGCGTCTGAGCTAGTCTTGAGATCTGAGAAACGGCCCGACCCGACGTCTTAGCGTCTAAGCCAGCAACAAGAGAGGAAGGAAGAGAGTATCCAGCAACAAGGAAGAGAGTGTTCAATGTCGTCGTCGCTCGCTCGCACAACTTGAGCACGGTGAGAATGTGCTTGCAGCCAACTGTCAGACATGAGAAACGAACAGTGTTCAGCGTGTACCTTCGCAACACGATCCAGACTGAGAAAATGGCAGAATCGTGACCTTGGTGCGATGAAGTCTGATGAGGTGTGACGATAGGTGACGATGTGACGACTCGGAAGCGGTCCCTTCCGATTGTTAGTTTGTTCCTTGACACTGCGAGCTGTTGGCGAGCTGTATCCACCAGCCGTGACGGTTTACACACTTTAAAGCCCTTTCGCGAAACTTTCGGACGTTGCGAGCTGTATCCACCAGCCGTGACGGTTTACACAGTACTTTAAAGCCCTTTCGCGAAACTCTCGGACGTTGCGAGCTGTATCCACCAGCCGTGACGGTTTACACTGTACTTCAGACGCCGCGAGGTGCCCCCTTCCGACCAACTTCTTTGAAACGATGCGAATCTACCAGCCGCAGTCGCATGTCCTGCACAAGATCCACGAAACACCAAGAAACCTTCAACTTGGAGAGCGGCAAGTTCTTGGCTTATGGGAGCAATGCAATCCTCATTTTTGGACAGTTATGAAAATGTGGATTGGACTGCGGATGGGCCTTGTCCGATGAGACGGGCAGTCTCTATGACTGCCATTATCTTCACATAGCGCCGACGCGGGAGGTCAAGGAATCAACCCGACCTGAACTTCCCCCAACTTCGCCAGCCAAGGTTGACGCAGAGTAGCCTGTAATTACTTATGGACCAAAAGAAATAATTGTCGTGAAATAAATGGACAGCGCATCAAGTTGATGCCTCCATCTTTTCGCATGCCTCGACTCCCCAACGTTGTGCGACACACATATTTTGACGACGCCGCTGAGGAGGAATTCAACCACCTACAAGTTCATTATTCTCTGGATGGACAGCGCGTGCTGAGCCAGCAGACAAATCCATCGCCTAAAAAAAGGCTCGCCTTAATCAAGAGGTCATTGAAACTCAACCTGAACTCGCTGACTGGATGCCATTCCCAGATGCGCAACTGGAGGACGTAAGAGAGCTGGTGGATACTGTGTCGTCGTTGGAGATTCAACTGGAAGAAGAATCGACATTGAAGAGAAAACGTTATGCATCGGTCGGTTGATACTACGACTTTATACAGAAGCTCATTCCCTTAGGACGATCCTATGGCAATGTGGCAACCACTGACGGCTCTCTTTCTGGAGGAAATGCTACGAAGAGACGGTCTCGGAAACCCTAACGCATGCCAAGAATGTGTGAATTGTCAAGCCAATCATATGGAGGAGACGGGGCTCCGTTTTTTCGCTGCAAGCAATGTGGGGACGGACTCCATTGTGAGACCTGTGTGGAAGCCGCTCATCAGAAATTGCCGCTCCATGAATTGCAGGTATTTATTTCTTCACCGATTTTGTTACTTGTTTACCTAGCTTGTTTAGGAATGGACGGGTCACTTCTGGACGAAGGCCTCCTTGTTTTATGCCGGACCCATCCAGCATGGAGCTCGTGGTTTGGCGGGCTGTTATCAACTTGGTCATGACGGTGCCCCATGCCCATTCCCCAGTAACCGTCGACCGTTGGTGGTCATCGATGTCAATGGCATTTTTACTTTGGACGTGCAGTACTGTGGCTGCGTGAATCCGTTCGGATTCGACCCCGTCAGACAATTGCTTCGAAATGCGTGGTATCCGGCCATGACAACAAACCCTGCGACCTGTGCAACCTTCAACGTTTTGGAGACATTTCGCTTCCTGCGCTCCATCGCAAACATCAATGTCCAAGACTATGTGCGACGTTGGAGAAGTTGACGGATTCAACCGGACTGGAAAAGGTCCCAGATCGTCAGCGTTGCTTTCGGTCGAATGGCTCGACAATACAGCTATCTTAAAATGATGAAGCGTGGAGGTCGCGGGCATGAAGCCAATGGAATTGTAACTACGCCGCCAGGGGCGTTGGCTGTGCGTTGCTGGGCATGCCCAGATGCTTCTCGTAACTTGCCTTCCGGATGGGACAAGGTTCCGGAGTCGAAGGCATGAGTAGCTATTTAATCAAACTATTCTTGACCAACAAATGTGCAGATACTTGTATAAGCTCATGTTGGCATTCGATGCCAATTTCCGCCTGAAGAACAAGCTTCGTGCTGGAGAACGCATGGATCCGGCGTTGACCGATGGCTTGGGATACTTCATGCGATCTGGACCATATAAAGAACATATCAAAACGCTCGTTGACGAAAAAGATGTCAGTGCGCTCTAGTCGAATCTATTCCATGTTAATGCGATACTTCAGGTCCAGGCTTGTGCTGCGTTTGCTGCTCTTTTGCAGAAGGAGACCAAATTGACCACTGGCCTGAGAGTTTCTGGCGTAGTTGGTTGTGTCTGTGCACGGCACGGCCTCGTACGCGTCGTCGAGGGATGGGAGACCTTCAACGTGGAGAACGGCAAGGTTGCTTGATGCCAGGAACAACTTGGATACAGCTGGAACCCCTAGTGCAATGTGCAACATCTGGGTTATAGCTCAAAGGGGCAATGCACAACATATGGGATATAACCCAGTTTTCTCTGTCGCAAGTATTTCTTTATTTGACTTTTATCTCTTTTGACTATTTTAGTGTCTTATGTCAGGTGAATGGTGATGGGATCAGTGTTCCTAATGTAATATATTGATTATGGAACCATTTTCCTAAGAGATCACTGATTTTGATGCCTGTGTGATCTTACATCACTCCCACTTGATTTAATATTGATTCTCTTTTTGTGCTACACTAAGCCCATAATATTACATACCGAGTCTTCGGCCTGAAGAAAAGGTGATTTACCCTCCTATATATGATCCTATATTAGTCATATCATGTTCCCTTAATATAATATATCAAAATATATGCATAGCCCATATGTTGTGCATTGCCCCTCTGGGCTATAACCCAAATGTTGCTCATTGCCCCAGCTGCAAGGGGTGTTGGATACTAACTCTTTGTGCCAGCTATGGAAACGTGGATTGGACCGTGCTATCAACTCTGTCAGACGAGGAAGTTCTGTGGGTCTTGCTTGCATACGACATCGTATGTCACTGGCAAGTATACTTTCCTGAGTGCGTCGCACGAATGAAGACAACGGGCGTGGATATCGAAGAGATATTCACCGAATTGGACCGTATTCGCCTGCAATACGGACTGCCGGTCTGGCATGCTGAAGCTCATGACCCCAAATGTCGAATTCAGTTTGCGCTTAGGTACTTGTTGGGTGTTGGAAAGACGGATGGGGAAAGCACCGAGCGTTTGTGGAGCCTACTCAATCCCGCAAGTTGGTCGACAAAGGAAATGGGAGAAGGCGCCCATCATGATGTCCTGGAGGACAAGATCGACCTGATTAATTTTGAGAAAAACAGGAGCATGGGTCAGTTAAGGTTTCTTTGAGAGTTTAAGCTCACTATTTGCAAGGGCGGACACTTGCAAGACGTTTGATTGTCGCTGTAGCAGAGCGTCAAAGGCAGGGCATTGAATTCCAGGAGCTGGACGACAGCGTTCCTAAAAAAAAAACGACGTGAATGGGCCAAGATGATGGATGCCTGGTATAAGGATAACACCCAGACGAATCCATTTGAAGTCCAGGGTGGGAAGCTCGGTATGCATGACGTTGAATACCTGTTGTAGCATTGATGACCTGTCTCGACAGCCGGGCCTAGTGAACGCGAAATAAGTGAAGAGTTGAAACGAGCTGAGGTGGAAGATGCACGAGCCGGAATCAAACCTTTGCTGGAAGGTAAAATGACCATAACAGCGTTCATCAGAGCGGGTATGCAGCTTCAGGCCATCCAGTATGTCAAAGTCTTCATTCCACACACTCTATTCACTATCCCCAGGCGTCGTATACGGACTGCTCTGAAGGCAAAAAAGTCAGCAGATCAAGCGAGCCAGATACAAGAATTACGTCTATCTCTGATCAAACAAATGCGCACCTTCGAAAAACTTCAACTAACTTACATGCCTGGGGTTCAGGGTCTTCGCGACGCAGCGCGGTATAAATTGGACGCGGAGGACGCGCAACCGGAAAACGCAAAGCTTTATCTTCCGTCACAGTTAACCGCGGAAGAGTGTCGACAAGTCAGCATGGCGGACTTGATTGAGACCGAAGCGAAATTGCGTCGGGGACAGTGTGCAGATGCACTGGCTGCCTTACGAGGGAGGCTTCATTCGAAGCAACACATGATTTGGTTTCGCGGGGAAAACATGGTGGGGCAACGTGCAAGAACGCGCTCCGTCACTCTAATGGCTCGGATGGAAGAAGGTGTAACGAAGGCCGCTGCCAAATATACTGAAGGCTACGAGGCTCTCGTTCACCTCAAAGGCAAACGTTACGCTCCTGAGTTTCAAAAATTGGACAAGGCCCATTTGAACACTCGTATCGAAATCGAGAGTGACGAAGATGCAGCAAGAAGCTTACGAACAGCAGACGGATCGCGACCTACGAGAGAGGAGACTGCTGCAAAAAAAGAAGAAAACCAAGACGGCGCCAATTTCCTGGATTTGGGCAGCAGGCGGGCAGGCCGACGGGGTTGAACTTCATGACTGTGAGTAACTATGGCTTGTTGACCATTTGCTTTCGGTTGAACGTGGTATCATAGCTATGCGTGTCGAGTGGGCAAAAGCACGTGCACAGAAGGAACGCTGGAACGAGGAGGTTGAATTGTTGCGAGAGGAGATGAAGCGGGTCATGCGATCATTGAAGTGGGAGGCTTCAGAATGGCAAAAACGAGCCGACGAAGTTCGTTCAGACGTTGATGGAACGACGGCGGCTGGAATCCGAGCTTATGCGCTGCGTAACGTGTACCTGCATACTGAATTTATAGTGCGCTTTCGAGAGGAGTGGGACAAAACAATGGGAGCTGCTGTCCGTCATTGGGCAGCAGAGGAGGAGCGGGAAATATTAGAGGGAACATTTATGGCAGAGGGAATGTAGAGAACAATGTTAAAATTGTATGATTCGGACCAAATCAGTCGTAATGATGATATCAAAGCTGCAGGATAAAGCGGAGTTCGGAGATCAGCGGCAAGGAAGCACGGAAACGGGTGGGGTTCGAGTGTTGTCAGAGACCTGGCAACACACAGGGATGATGGAATCGGATTTTCTGGCAGTTCCCGGGGATGATTGAAACAGGCTACAGCCACGGGTGAGCATTGACGGCAGGCTTTTCAGGCGCGCAACTAGATGTTTGGCCCATTGACAGGCGATGTCATATGAAACCAGCAGACGGAGAGCAAGATGAAGGTGGCGAACGATGGAAGCGAAGAGCCAATCCATATTAGCAAAGCTTTTGAATGGTCAGTTGTTGACTCTGTGAAAGACACGCCGACTCACCGTTCCCCAGCTTGAAGATCTACAACACCATTTGGCTGAACGAACTCATGCCTCGCGCAAACTCCCATACCCACTCCAGTTACACTGTAGCCGCGAGAAAACTTGTTATTTGCATGGTCCATGGCTGCAAGACCACTACAGGAGCTCATCTACAAGAACGATCTTAGTTCGAAGAGGCATCAACGAAAGATAAACTTACCTCGCGTTGGTCTTTCACTGTGGTCAGATATTCCCGATACGGCCCCCATTCCACCATATATGCCCACCCAGTACCGAGACCTGGATCCCGTATCTCGTTGGAGATAGCGCGTCACTTTAACCTGAAGCAAGCGTCGATGGCCAGAAAAAAGGTGTAAATACAACTAGGACGGCAGAGTAAGTAAGATGATATCTCCCATGTTAGGAAAATACCTGGTCGACTTGTCCCATCCGTCAGGCAGATTAACACCTGGTCTAGGACAAGAGGGACAGCGGATAGAAAGCTCGCCTGGGGCTGTTGCGTCGACACCACCCTGAGCATGGCCGCGGCCTCTTCGCTTCAAGAGTAAAAGGTGATGATATTGCCGCGCTATTCGCAAGAACACCTGATAGCGGTTAGGTGGAGTAACTCCCGCCCCATTTGTCAGATCCTCCAGGGCGTGGTAAAAGTCGTAGGGCGTTATCTTGCCGGCCAGCGTGAGCGCATGGAAAGTGTCCAAGAGGGACAACGATGCGCATGTTCTTGGTGCTTCGAAAGTCGAAGGATACCAACCGACACGAAGCAGTTGGATATAATATGGGTCGGTTGTCCTGTGGCACCCACAAAAGTCGACCGAAAGTTCGTGAATGCCGTTGGTGTGGAGGAGCACGAACCCTTCCCGAGCAGGGAGAGGTCGATCGCATCGTTGGGTCGGAGGGTGTCCCAATTGGACACGGGCACCAAGGCGCTTGAGCGAAGTACGAGCAAAGTAAACGCCCGTCCACTCCTGTAAGATATGTGAGCAGAGACAACGCGCAGCAAAAAAAAATTGAGACTGATGGTGATGACATGCAAGGGATGGAATGTATGAAGTTGGAGGCAGCAACTTTGGCAAACCAAGACACCACCAAAACAATCTTCACACCGATAGGTGGGATTGTCCTTGTCGCAGGTAGCACATGTCTTGGCATGGTTTCCTCTGCCCTCTCTCCACAGAAGAACCCTCAGGTAAGTGTTCCGTTCGTGTAGCATCCATTCTCGTAGCGAAGGATCCTGTGAACACTTCAGAAAAAGTTCTGGGAATAGGATTGAGCAGCTAACCGATGGCTGTAGAATTCGCTCAGTGCGTTCAGCTATCTCCCCATTAACCCAACTTTCATCTCCTTTTTCCATAGTGTAGCGTTCGTGGTCGACAGCGTCTTCTGATGCCGGAAGGGTAGATGAGGCAGGAGGGCATGTAAGTCGGAGCCGTTTGAGTGGTGAGGAAGGCTGGGTTACAACAGGTGAGGAATACGTTCTTCGAAGGTCTGCAGATACACACTCGACAGCAGACTCGATTTCGGGGGCAATAGCTGCTTTAGAGCCATTTATAGCCACGATATGCTCATGGGAGTCTCTGCTTTCGACACGCTGGCGTCGGCTGGAGCGAAAAACATTGGGGAGATATCGGGAGGAAAAGAGAAACGTCGGTGAGTCATAACAATGTGTCATACAAAACGTGACTTGTATCAACAGCTGCCATCGGCTTTTTTTGCTGATAATCGGCTTTATCGCCGCCTGTTCACTTGCCGTCTTTTTGCTTGCCGTCCTTCAGGAAAAGAGCTGTATTTACACGCGTTTTATCATAGCTAATGAAACCAAAAAAGTTAACCAAAAAAGTAGTAGCTAGACTGTCCTCTATCTTGCCTCATACCCGCCTCCCGCCTTGTTCCTCGTAATCGAGCATATAGAGTCGAAGGGCGGCGCGCGCTGTCCATTGACAGAGTACCCGGAGAACAACGGCTTCACAGGGATGGGTATCACTTGGATATCGACCCAGGTAACGCAGAGCTCCACGCCACTTTAATCGAGCACCGTCATATGCTTGCTGTCGGATGCGAAAGATGTCTTTCTCGTCGCGATGACCGTGACCCTCGGCGATGAAGTCGTGAATTTGTTTGCGAAGCATGGCCTTGCTTTCATCTACTCCTCGCGAGTGGATAGCATGCAAGGCTACCTCGATGGCCTTTGTAGTATCGTTGGATGCTGTAGACGTGCAGTCCAGTCCGTTGTCATTTGTTTCGCATGGTATTGCATAGGGGAATCCAAGCCAAGGGAGGATTTCGTTATCCAGGCTCGACCTTCTGACCTCGATATCGAGGTCAATTGCATCGAACGGTCGCACAAAATCGTTCAGATAATAGAGGAAGCCAGGCTCGTCATACGGAATGGCAAAGACAGCCTGAGTTCGCAGCAGAGGTGGTAGCCTGAGTTCAGGTCCCAGTGGATGAGGCATCTTGCGTTTGTTTCGTAGGCTCGAATTAGCAGCAGTTACCAGTTGACCTCTACCTAAGAGCATCAGACAGTATTGAGAATTCAGAAGATATACGCACTGTACACTCTTGGCATACCTTTTTTGCTGCTCCTGACGCACCAGTTTACGCTCCTCGTCATTCTGGTATATACGTTTTGCGGGCATAATGAGAGAAAGTCGCAAGATGGAAGTGTGACCCAGACTCACATTGTAAGTCATAGCACGGCTTTGGTCGCTTCGAAGCAGCATGAGAAATCCAGCTCTGAAGTCATGCCAGATATATTCAGATTCTGAATGGGGCAGCTCGTCTGACTATGTGTGATAATTTATTGTATTTTATTTCCTTCATTTGGAGACTCCTTTTCGAGCTCTACTTTGTTATGACAGTTTCATGAAGGACGAAGCGCCCATTAAGCGCCCATTAAGCGCCCATTAAGCGCCCATTAAGCGCCCATTAAGCGCTGGTTAGGCACGCGGCAAAAGTCGTAAGCGCCCGTGAGACAGGGCCAAGCGCCCTTTCCATGCTTGTAAAATGAAGCGAAAACAAAGGCAAATGATACATTTTAGTGGTCAATACATGCGAGTATAGTAACACGATTCGAGCGACAAGGTACGAGAGGATACGAGTGACATCAGATACGAGCGATACGAGCAACGAGCAACGAGCAACGAGCAACGAGCAACAAAAACATAGCAATAAGCAAGGGGGGGGAGAGGGGGGAGTATAGCAATGAGCAAGGGGGCAATGAGTATAGCGATGAGCAAGGGGGGCAATGAGCAAAATGAGGGGGAGGCAAGACTCGCTATCCATCTACCAAGAAAAGTATGCGTCGGGCACACTGTCGATTAAGCATTCTTCATCGAGGGAGGCATCGTCGTGGAGCTTTTGCAAATTCTTCCGCTCCTCCTCCAAACTTTTGATGTGTTGTGCACATAGGCGTTTTTCCTCGTCGTCATTCGTGCACGTAGCTGCAATACGTGTGCGACGAATGAATAGAGCAATATCTTGTCGTTGTCGCATTGCATCCTTCTGACGTCGCCACGATTCCTTCAAGAGATAGGAATATGCTGTCCCAAGATCAGTCAGTTAACGCTCATCGCGGGCTCAAGACTTTACTCACTGTCATGCAAGATCTGCTCCACCTCCGTTTTTGCCTGGGGAATGTGGCGAGAAGACTGTCCCGCCCGTGTTTTCGGTGCCACGTCTAATGCAGCCAAGCGTCTCTGGGATGTCTGTGTCGTGCGTATCGGTCTCTCCGTGGCCGGGCTCCTTGTTTCGTCCAGTTCCTTCCTTTCGTTGCGAGCTCTGAGTCTCTGCGTTCGCCCTGAAGATACATGTAAGTAATGGGGGCTATATGGTCAACTCTGGACTGACCGGAGGCGCTCGACATGTTCCCCGTCGCTGCGAGGATGGAAGCGACAGGCGATGTCGTAGGAGTGGTGGAGTGCGTGGAGCCGAGGAATCGACTCGAGCTCTGATTTCGAGTAGACCTCCGTGGAGTGGTGGGGTTGAGATCTGCAGGACATGAGAGAAAGAGTTGTGGGCACTGCTGACGACGTACTCTTGTCCACCATCGGTTGCTGGCATGTGGTGGGAAGGGAAGAAAAAAGTGAAATGACTCATATCGATTTGATCGGCTTCTTGCGTCGCTGATTCATTATCACACGACTGCTTCTTTCAGTATGGCCCTCCTAACTCCTACCAACTCGCTTCAAAATCGCTTCCTTGA